GCATGTTCTAGGTTGTACAAGGAAGATAACTTGAGTTTAAGATTTGGCTGTGGAGCATCTAAGGGTCCTGAGCCCAACTCTTCAAACCTCAAGGAATTTAAATCAGGGGCAAGTTATGTTTATTTTCAAGTTGATAAAGTGGTAGTTTTAGCTAAGTTCTGCTCTGTCCCTACAAATGGGGGCAGAGAAAGGAGACTGGTTACATCGCCTTATAAAAATCATAGAAAGCTAAAGGACTGTGTATTGTCCAACTTGTTCAAAAGAAATTCAATTGAAAATTGATACTGTGGCAACATTGGAAACAGTTTTGGCAGTTCCTTCTAAAGTTGGGCATTTCCGTGCCCTATGAGCCAGCATGTCCACTCTTAGGTATTGTAATCAACAGAAATGTACACGCACACGTGTGCTTCAAAGACATCTATGAGAATATTCACAACAGCACCATTCTTTTTTTTTAGAATTTTTTTTATTGGGGAATTGGGGGGATGTTAACAGTGCTGGGGAACTGGGGGAAGGGGAACAGACAAGTTGCTGTCGTTTTTTTGTTCTTCAGTCCAGTTGTGGAGGACGTTGCTTCACTGGCCCAAGTTGGCACCATCATTGCGCTCTTCCCGGGCGAGGCAGATCAGTCACCGGCTTCTGGACGGCCGCTCACTGCGGCTGCTGGCCGCTCACGCTGGCTGCTGGCTACACACGGTAGCCCATGGCAACTCACTGCAGCAGGGGCTGCAGCCTACGCTGTCGCCAGCGACTCACGGCAGCCCAGCTCCAGGTTGAGCTGTTGTTCAGCATCTTAGCTGTGGACGGCAGTGTCACTGGCCCTCATATGTGGGATCCGAACCGGGGCCCTCTGGCATCCCAAGCCAGTTCTTAACCAACGCGCCACTCGGTCGGCCCACAGCACCATTCTTAATAGCCCCAAACTGGAAACGACCTAAATGCCCATCATCTGTAGAATAGATTGTGATATATTCATTCAGTGGAATACTTCATGGTCATGAGAATAAACAGACTCCTGCTACAAGCAACAACATGGATGAATCTCGCAAATAAAATGGTGAGCAAAAGAAACCAGAGAGAAGAGTGCAAACTGTATGATTTGTGCACATGAAGTTGTGTTGTGTTTTGTTTTTTCAGGCAAATCTGTTGTTATCCTTGGGGGAAGATGGGGAGTAGCTGCGAGGGGAACGGGGTAGGGGTTGGTGCTCTCGGATGCTGGTAATGTTCTGTTTCTTGTTCTGAATGCTGATTATAGAGATGTGTTCACTTTGTGCATCAAGCTACACACTTATTTGTGCATTTTTGGTTTGTAGATTATAATTCAACAACAACAAAAAAATGCAAGTCAGGTTTAACACTGCCCTGTATTTATGTGAGGGAAAATTATACTATTCTAATTTTGAAATAACTTGAACAAGCAAGCATCTTCCTCAAAAAATGGTTCCCAGAAAAACTTCTTAGGCTGTTTTGGTTAACGTAAGTTCCTTTATCTCAGGCCAGGTTGGAGGGATCAGAGCCCATGGCTCTGAAAGTATCTCCAATACAGGTAACATGTGGCACAGTGATTCTCATCAGACTACCCAGTAGAACTACCTGGGAGCCCTAAAGTGCCCATCCCCAGCATCCCACCTGCAGTCCGAGTCAGTTGTTCCAGGGGTACAGTCTGAGCATCAGTATTGTTTAAAAACTTCCCAGGTGATTTTGATGGGCAGCCAGGTGAAGGATCACTGATGTAGAGCCCCATCAGAAGTGTCAGGAGACTGGGGACTACAGATAAATAGAAACAGAACTACCTTTCATCTGCAAGTCCTTTGGCTTGGAGAGAGGATGACATTTGCATTGTTCCTAATGTAATCCGATTACAGGAGTCAAAAAGAATGCATCAAAACCAGTGGCCTTAAAACCTCTTCCTTTTCCCTTCCTTTCTTCCACAGTATTTGCTAAGTGCTGCCTCTGAGCCAGGTGTATCAAAGCGGAATTCCTCCCCTACCCCTATGTATGTATGTATGTATGTATGTATGGGGCCCACACTTATTACTCTGTTAACGCTCTGAGCAACTAACTTGAATGCAGAACGTGATACACACAGTAGCTATTTCAGCTCAGCATTACTAAACCACAATCGGCCACTTTGGTACATGATGTTCTAACTATAAAGGAAGACTGAAAGAAGCCTAGGCACCGTGTTGAGTGCAATTTTCAAGGAAAGAGCAAGAAATCGAACATTTTAAACCAATAAGTGAAAGCTGGAGAGAGAAAGAAATGTTAAAATATCATCTTATTTTCTTGAAGTATTTTCCATCCAATCTTGTACAGTCAAACTGAGCATTTAAGTGTGGGGGGAGAAACCCACTGAAGATCTCAGAGAAGACTAGAGGGTGTCAGGTTTCTTGATTAGAAGAATTTATCATCAAAGGCAAAAGAGAAAAGATGATAATGATAAAAAGAAAGCCCTCCTAGTGATCACAAATTAATGGCACAAAATCGAGAAAACAAAAGTAGGTGTTATTCTTGTTCAGTTAAGCTATAGTTTTCTCCATTTCATGTGTGTTCTTTAAAACTACTTAATTTTATTTGACATTGAAAATCTAATAGGG